GCATCCCTCGGGCGGTCCCTGTTCCCCAAGCGGTGCCCATGGTCTATACGGGCTTCCCGGTACCCACCGGCGGGCAGGAGGAGGGATGGGGAATGGGAACCCTGTCTGAGGGGGAGACCCACATCCTGGAGAAGGGCTGGGCACGGGAGCAAAGAGGATGCGGGGAAGGGGCTCGCTGTGGAAAAGGAGGGAAAGACCATCCATGGAAAAGGTGTGGCTTGGAAGGAGGGTACGTACTACAAGGAGGGTGATGGAGAAGGGATAAAGCCAGAAAGTGGGGGCCAAGGGACACACACATGGAGTGGGAAAAGGGTCCCAGGATGGGGAGAGGGTCTGGGAAAATCAAAGGGGTGCCCAAAGTGGGGGGAAGCAGGAAAGACAAGTAGGAAATGGGACCCCATTCAGCTCCCTCTGATTCACAGCCCGCACCCCCCAGCTCTGTCAAATCCTCCCTCCAGCTTCAGGCATTGAATTGCTCCAACCTTCTGCATTGCACATCAGGACCCATTCCAAAGCTCTGGCTTATCAGCACTTCTCCAGGAACTGATAGGTGCCAGCACCTCGGGGATGCCATTTCCATCACAAAAAAGACTGGATGCCCCAGCCAAGGGCATCCACATCCCTTTGCTTGCTGTTGGGAAAGCAGCACTTAGTCCTCACATCCCTTTGGGACAGTCTTATCAGTACCAGGGGAGCTTTGAGCCTCTTCAGCCTTTGAACCGACCCATTTGTACCTTTGCCCACCACCGTCCTGCCTTCCCCTCTGCCCTATCGGGCATCAACCAGCCGGAGAAGAATAATTCCTTTCCCCGTGAATCTATTTTTCAGCCCAAACTGGTCTGGCTGATGCCCTAGAAGCAAGATCCACAAGGAAGAGCAGCCCTTTCCCTGCTCTCTATTTAGATTTAACCCCAGAATGGTTGGAAAAGGAGCAAAACCACTCGAAGAGACCAGCCCCATATCTCTGCCTTGAAGCCTTTGATTACTGGTTCTCCTCTTGCACTGAGCCTGGTCTGGCAAAACCGAAGCTCCCGCTCCCTCTTGAGCCCACCCTTGCTGACAGTCCCCGCTGATACACGCAGCCAACTAGGGCTGGGTTGGGGGTCACTAGTTTAAACCTGCCTCCGGGTGGCTTTGAGGCGATGCTGCTGCTGCAGGAAGAGGAGCAGGGGCCAAAACAACGTCCTCAGTGCCAAGGTCAGACACAAGCGGGGGGATCCATCCCGACACCGGCATCTCTGCGCATCCCATTCATCCACATCAACCCTTCACTCCAGGTTGAGCAACAAGAGAAGGCTCGAGCATGAGGGCGAGACCCAGGTTTCGGTGTGAGTGTTCGCGCGCACCCGAACATCACGGCCCAGCATCAGCTCCCAGCGGATGTGCTGTTCACTGGTGCTCTCAGACGTGTCACCTCAGCACCCGGCCTCTGCACCGCGCAGACAAGCCCTGTCTCGTTGCTACAGCTTTGCAGGGGAAGCAGGATGCCCAAAAAGCACCTTCACATTAGCTCTGCGAAGAGGGTGCGTGCTCAGCGGCTGCTCAGCTCCGGGCTCAGCCCTGAACCACGAGCGAGGCAGCAGCATCCTGCTCAAAAAGAGAACTGAAAGCAGCACTAAGTGGTTATAGCTGCAAGTGCACACAGAGAGGAGGTGCTGGCAGTGGTAAGGAGCGAAGGGGGGACATGACAGTGGAGGATGCGCCTCAGTGGTTTAACTCCGAGAAGGGAGACTGATTCTTTAGGGGCTCCTTACGCTCTATTCCTTAATTCGTGGTTCTTTACACTCTATTCCCATGGGATACCCTCCAACTGATAAATTAAAAGGGGGGTTGTAAATGAGCAGTGAAATCAGGCTGGTTTCTGGTGCAGGAGGGTCAGGGCAGGGTTCTGTTTGCCTGGGTCTCTTGTGGTGACATAGAAGCTGCAGGTGGAGCTCCGACAACCCAGGAAATGATGTTTGCTCTCCATTGAACCTCTTTTCCCCCGGGGGAAGGGGGGTTCTCCCGGAGAAGACCCGTTGCCCCTCAGCACTGCAACTGCTCCTCTGCTCGCATTCACCTCCCCTGGGGCCAGAGGCACCGACGGGGCAGGAAGCGAAAGCTGCCCCATCATCCCCACCAGCGAGCCCATGGCTGCAGCCAGCCCTGCCCAGAGCTTCCGCGATGAAGCCTCCTGCTCCATCTGCCGGGGCCTCTTCCAGGACCCCGTCTACATCCCTTGTGGACACAACTTCTGCCGG